TTTACTTTGAAATAAATCACCAGTATTGCCTAATGTTTTTACCATTTGGATCTATTTGGATTTGATCCATGTTCATGCCTTTGTAGTCTGACAGACGGCCTTGTTCCATGGCAATCAGGATTTTGCTGACCTTGGCCAACTGCAGAGTCCCCTCAGGTAGCCTGTAATACTCTCTATGAACTCTTATGTCATGTCCAAGAAAATTTGCAAGTATATCCATTTCGTTGTCCCTTAAATTTAAAACTGTGGAGAGCGTGGCCACCTGTTTTCTTAGCTTTGTAGAGGACAGAGTTTCTGGATGTTCAGCTCCACAGGCCCTTGCGATCTCTCTAATGGCATCTGATCCTCTTAGGTGAGTCTCTGCCTCAGGCCTTGAAAAGAAAAAGGGGTTCTCATCTGGCACACCACAGACCCGGCGATGAGCAACCAAGATTTCCATGGATGAAAGCATGTCTGGAGTTAGAAGAATGGGAACTTTGCGGTTTCTCTTGCCTCTAATTTCGATCCGTTGAAAGTGCAGGCAGAGCTTTTGCTCCAACTCAGAAAGACCGGTCACAACATCTGACTGAACTCCTGACGTGTCTCTAAGTGTGAATGCACTTAATGGCATCCTTGAAACTTCCCCCTCTCTTCTGCGGTTAAACAGAATGACCTCACACAGAGTTATCTTAGCTAGCTTGGACCAGTTTTTCTTGTCCGGGTTGTTGCTCACTTTGTTCTGGTATTCTTCTCTGCACTGATCCAGATACATGTGCATCTTTTTTACATCTTCTGTGAAAGGAAGAAGCTGCGGTGTGTTCCATTTACTTTCACTCAGAGTTCGCAGGGCACGTGATGAAATGCACGCATCCCACTTCTTTTCCAGAAGACTTCTCGTCCTCTTTATGTTTTCAAGAAACTGGTCATCAACATGCTCTGACATCTGTGCCTCACACTCCAGAATATCAGCAATCTTTTTCAAGCTATGACCAAGTTTGAGAGCCAGAGACGGAGTTTTGTAAGTGTTAGTGTCATTATCAAAACCACACACCTTTTTTACCATTTCCACAACCACATTGAAGTTGGAGGGTTTAAAAAAGTCCTCCATTCTTTGAAGTTGACCCACTTTTCTTGAAAATCTAACCAGTCTTCCCAACTCTCTCATTTTCTGTCTAATGTATTCATGTTTCGACTTGTCATGGCCATGCTTAGCGTAAAGCTGCTCTCCAAGCTTTATGATTGTTTTCTCCTCTTTTATAACTTGTGAGATCTCATCCTGATGCATCACATTTATTAGTTCCCAAATTTTATGGCTCACGCCTTCTGGTGCAGGCTGTGCGAAGGCACAGATGGACTGAATTCGACTTCTGCCTGGCTTCTGTTTACTGCACTTTTGTGAGAGTCTGCATCGTGACATGTGTCTCCATAATGCTTTCCTTTTGAGTAGTGCCTGACACTGAATACAGTGCATGTAGTCAGATGCATTCACTGGTTTGGAAGCCTGCTGACTTGGGATCAGGGTACCACTTCCTGATTTAAGGACCTCATTATTATGAGCACGATCTCCTTTATTTCTGATGAGATCGAAATGCAGTTTTCTTTCTTTTGATTTCAAAGGGTAGGTCATGGCTTTTGCAACCGCTGTTTCAGAACTGTGTTTCCGCACCAAGTGCCTTGCCATTTTATGGCAACTAATCGGACAATAAAGACAATAATGTTTCTTACTGTAAATTCTTCCACCATCCTCCTTTTTCTGCAGCTTCATGACAGACACCTTACCTGTTTTAGTGTCCTTCTCATTCTCTGTGCTCCTGGAGTCTGTGTCTGAGCAAGTAATCATCCGTTTGGCTCTTTTGGTGTCCTTCTCATTCTCTGTGCTCCTGGA